AACTTTCAATTCAAACAACAACTACATCACAAGGTAGTTCTTTCATTCCTACAATGATGAATGTCTATCAAACGAAAACATATAATAATAAAGGCATGCTACCATCAAAGCCCTAATTTGTTTCCTATTTGTAATGCAATGAACATACAAATCTTTTGTATACTCAACATGATATCCCAAATAATCATGCATCGTTGATAAGGAATTAGAAAGAAAAAAAAATTCTCCCTTTAAAGAGAAAAGTATCAAATAATTATAAATTGAAATAATCGAACTCTAGACCCACAAAACTCCGGCTAATCTTTCTATTTCTCTCCCTCTTTTCTCTCTTTTTCCTAATTGTTTAGAGGTGTATAAGGGACTTAGAAAGCATATGGAAGTGATGTGAAGTAAAGAATTAGGGTTAGGTATTTGTAGGAGATGAAAACGAACAAAGGCAGTGGAAAAAACCACCTTAAACACAAAGGAACTTGGTCAACCCCCTTCAAAGCCAGTTGGACCCCTGTACAAAGTTGGTAGACCAATTTAGTCCTCTACTTAATTCAGCAAAGTTGCAAAATTAGTCTGCAAAATAATCGTTTTGCCCCTACACCCTCCTATTTCACCTATATGACATTCTTAGGGTTTTTTGAAGTTCTGGATTTATTTTTAATGTTATATTAAATCAAAACATTTTATTTTTAGAAGTTATCCGAAAAACCACTCAAAACCCAACCTAAATTAACACCCGAAAGGCCGAAATGAGCATTTTACCCTTTGAAGCGCAACACCAACCAATCACCTATCTTAAAGTTTTATTTTAACCTAAAAACATTCACATTAAAGTTTTGTACCAAAAATGTCAAAATTATTATTTTACCCCATGTGACAATCTAGATTCAATGGTAATGTCATTTTGACCTAAAAACATTTAGATTTATAACAAAGTATCTTCTCTAGCCTAATTACACTTTCATCCTATCAATTATCTCCAAAATTCAATCTGTGCAAAACATAACTATGACGGTTTGTTTTGTGCTACCACGAAATTTAATAAACTTAATTTCACCCGATTTAACACATATCCAAATTATTAAACATAAATTAAGTTAAATTAGAGAAATTAAAACACTAGTATACATCACTCGCAAAGATCTTGTAGTTTCATTCTATGCATAGAGTCCCTAATATCTAAATCGAAATGTGATGATAATGAGGGCAATAATTTTCTCGTCTTCCTTCTTCTTCTTGCTTCTTGTCTGTGATAGGTCAAACCCAAGGGCCTAGCTCAAATTATAAACCCGGCCCGAGTTTATAGCCCATCTCCAAGAGATCCAGTAAGTCTAGTTCAGCATGGTCAACCAGGGCAAGCTCATCAAGAATCAAGGAACAACATCAGCAGGGAGTATGCAAGGTCATCAAAGAGTCTCCTCTACCACCTTGGAGTCTCTTCTATGCCACCAAGGGAGCATCTAGGAGCCTCACCCTCACCGCTTGGAGAGAGTCAACCTTCCTTCATCCTTTGACCAAGTCTTTTGGAGAGTACCATAACTTCCTTGCCCGTTGAGGAGAGGAGAGATCGCCAAGTTATTTAATCACTGTTAAAGTCACCTCAATCCGTTATGACTATTAAACAGTCCCAACCCATTATGACCGTCATACTAGCTATTCAATTACTACATTAAGCTACTATAAANCCTCCTATTTCACCTATATGACATTCTTAGGGTTTTTTGAAGTTCTGGATTTATTTTTAATGTTATATTAAATCAAAACATTTTATTTTTAGAAGTTATCCGAAAAACCACTCAAAACCCAACCTAAATTAACACCCGAAAGGCCGAAATGAGCATTTTACCCTTTGAAGCGCAACACCAACCAATCACCTATCTTAAAGTTTTATTTTAACCTAAAAACATTCACATTAAAGTTTTGTACAAAAAATGTCAAAATTATTATTTTACCCCATGTGACAATCTAGATTCAATGGTAATGTCATTTTGACCTAAAAACATTTAGATTTATAACAAATTATCTTCTCTAGCCTAATTACACTTTCATCCTATCAATTATCTCCAAAATTCAATCTGTGCAAAACATAACTATGACGGTTTGTTTTGTGCTACCACGAAATTTAATAAACTTAATTTCACCCGATTTAACACATATCCAAATTATTAAACATAAATTAAGTTAAATTAGAGAAATTAAAACACTAGTATACATCACTCGCAAAGATCTTGTAGTTTCATTCTATGCATAGAGTCCCTAATATCTAAATCGAAATGTGATGATAATGAGGGCAATAATTTTCTCGTCTTCCTTCTTCTTCTTGCTTCTTGTCTGTGATAGGTCAAACCCAAGGGCCTAGCTCAAATTATAAACCCGGCCCGAGTTTATAGCCCATCTCCAAGAGATCCAGTAAGTCTAGTTCAGCATGGTCAACCAGGGCAAGCTCATCAAGAATCAAGGAACAACATCAGCAGGGAGTATGCAAGGTCATCAAAGAGTCTCCTCTACCACCTTGGAGTCTCTTCTATGCCACCAAGGGAGCATCTAGGAGCCTCACCCTCACCGCTTGGAGAGAGTCAACCTTCCTTCATCCTTTGACCAAGTCTTTTGGAGAGTACCATAACTTCCTTGCCCGTTGAGGAGAGGAGAGATCGCCAAGTTATTTAATCACTGTTAAAGTCACCTCAATCCGTTATGACTATTAAACAGTCCCAACCCATTATGACCGTCATACTAGCTATTCAATTACTACATTAAGCTACTATAAATTGTAAGCCCCACCAACACTTGGAGGGCATGAGACCCATTTGAGCATAATTCTCTCCTCTCCTCTCCTCTCAAAGCTTGTAATCTTGTGCTCTCCCTCTACACTGGAGATAATAAAATTTCGACGACCCTTCCCATTCAAAGTGGACGTAGGTCATATTGACTGAACCACTATAAACTTTGTCTTCTCTCTCCCTCTACTTATTTTACTGCATTTTATATCGCATACTTGACAAGTGGTGTGCAAACCAATTTTATGCATTATTAGTTTGGCGCCATCTATGGGAACAACAAAGTTCTCACCTAAACATTTTCTTTGCTGAATCAAAGGCGCTTACCACCAAATCCATGAATCAGCCTGAAGACATTCCACCACGAGAGAACAAGGTTGCCCCTCCACCCAATCCAGTCCCAAATGCGCAGTAGATGTTGGAGACCATGCAATAGCTTATAGCCCAGAACTAGCAGATTTTGCAACTGATGCTCGGACAACAAGGAGGAGCACAACCTAGACCTCAAGTTAGAGGAGCTTCATGCCCTGCCAATCAAGGATCTCCCCACCTAAGCGTTCCCCATCAAGAAGGTGCCCCACCTCTAGGAGTACCCCTGGGCGCTCCACACAGGGGGGCCTACCATGAGGGACCTCCACCTCCTCCTCCAGCTCCTGCTCCCCATGGTGGAGACCCTCATTTCCAAGAGGATGAGGGTGAAAATCATTTTCATGATAATTTCAGAAGACCTCCTCTCAATCACTGGGACGAAAAAATTAAGGAGGTGCAAAATCAATTGGGCGAAGTTTTCAACGCCATGAAGGCACAGGGACCTAAGATAGTGAATTACCTCGTAAGTCGAACCGATACACTTTTCAAACCTGATGTGACGAACTACCCACTTCCTCATAAATTCAAAATGTCATCAGTCGAAACCTTTTACATTACGAAGGATCCATTGGACCACCTCGAAACTTTTAAGACCTTGATGCAGCTACTTAATGTCCCCGACGAAATCATGTGTAGAGCATTCCCAACTACCTTGAAGGGATCTACTCAACAATGGTTCGTCAAACTCTCCCCAACCTCCATTGGCTCATTTGCTGAGCTGAGCAGGTCCTTTGTGTCGCACTTTATTGGAGGATGCCGCCACCAGAAGCCTGTCACCCATCTGTTCAACATAAAACAGAATCGAGATGAGAGACTAAGGAGCTACCTCACTCGTTTTAACGAGGATTTCTTTCAGGTCGAGGAGTCCGATGATAAGGTCAGCATGACTGTCTTTTCTAGGAGGCCTCCAGTCATCAAGCTTCCTCTTTTCGGTAATGAAGCAACCACCAAAGAGCATGCCAAAATTATTGACAAAAGCTCAAAAATATATGAATGCTAAGGAAATCAACAGGTCTAGGCGAGGTGAATCATTTCACGGATCGCCAAAAGCTTGATCTATCTCTGCTCTGCTATCAAGCAGACAGCCAATATCTTCAGTTTAGCGGCTTTCTTGCGGGTCGCCAAAAGCATGGTCTCTGCACTGTTCTCAACCAGGTAGCCTATATATCCAGCTTAGCGGCTCCCTCGCGGGTCACCAAAAGCTTGGCCTCTGCACTGTTCTCAAACAACAGCCTATATCTTTAGCTGAGCGGCTTTCTTGCAGGTTGCCAAAAGCTTGGCCTCTGCACTGTTCTCAAACAGGTAGCCTATATCTCCAGCTGAGTGGCTCTCTCACAGGTTGTCAAAAGCTTGGCCTCTGCTTTGCTCTCAAGTAAGCATCCTATACCTCAAGCTTAAGAACTCTCTCATGGGTCGCTAAAAGCTCGGTCTCAAAAGTTATAGCTCTCTAAGAAGCAATCCTCAAACTCTATTTTTGCTCTCGTGAAAGCAACTTACCTCTCTCTTTAGGTAATTATGTTAGATATTTTAATTTTTGGAATAACATTATTTTTGTCATCTCCAGGCACGCTTTTGAAACTCAGGCTGTTTGGGACTACATTAGATTAAATGTCAACAATCGGGCCTCAACCTTTTTGTGCCCATCCATCACTGCCGCCTCGTTGTCACAGCTCTCCAGCACTTAACACCTAGCGCCAACACCTCGCCAGGCTCGCCCAGCACAGCAGCCTTTCCTGCACGCCCAGTTAGCACAGCAACCTTCCTGTGCGCCCAACTAGCACAGTAGCCCCTCCTGCGCAACGCAGCCATTCTTCTGCGTGCACGGCCAGCTCGTCTCCCGACTCCCAAGCATTGGCGCCCACCATGCCATCTCACCCAGTGGAGCTCATCCGCAGGGGACCTTCCGCAGTAGAGCTCACCCATGGAGAACTCTACCCAGTGGAGCTCACCCAAAGGAGTTCGCCAGGTCCCGGGCTTTCCCAAGGTAGATCCCCCTCAGTAGAGCTCACCCATGGAGACCTCTGCCCAATGGAGCTCGCCAGGTCTAAGGCTCACTTCTAAAAAAAAACCCAAATTATAACCTAGGCTCTTCAAGAATCCAAAAAAAGAAGAAAATGAATAAAGGAGTTTATATAGTCAATGGAGTCCTGCAAGTAAAAGGAGCCTACTGGAAGGGAGAAGGTCACCGATATAAAAAGAAGTTTTCATAAAAATTTGGATTTAAAAAGGGCTGCACACGGTATTTTGACTGTAACTTTTGATCCGAAACTATAAACGGGGCTTATTATATATCAAATCAAAACTCTTGACGAACCCTACAAGACTCACACCCTATGACTATGAGTGATGCTGTAAAAAGTCCAAAAAATGCCCAAAAAAGAATGTTTTGACCTCCCGAAGTTTTAAAAACAAAAAAATTTTGCTCTCCCAATGTCCTGCTCGCCCGGAGAGCTGCATGCTCACCTAGCTCTCTGCTCGAAATTTTGACCGTAATTTTTTCTCTGTTAGTCCAAATGAGGCTTATAATATATTAAATCGAAACTCTCAGCGTACTGTTAAAAGTTCAAAAAAAGCCTATAAATAGATGTTTTGGCCTCTCGAAATTTTTTCAATTGTGCTGGTCAGCCAAAAATTCAAACTCAAAATGAATGTCTTCANAAAGAAACATTGCGAGAATTGATGAATTTGCAATTGTCCACCAGGACTTCGAAGGGGTGGCAAGGTGATTGGGGTCCAGCCATCAGGTTGAAGGCTTCTAAGGAGTCAATCTCGAAGATGTAGTTCCCACTCCTATTGAAAATCAGTTGTAGGCCTTGTTGGATGGCCCAGAGTTTTGCTTTAAGGCTTGACGTATGGTTAATTATGCCAATGAAGCCCTTGATCCATTTCCCTTTGTCATCCCGAAGAATGCCTCCAATANTTCTATCACCTTGGAGTAAGGGTCATCCAAGAGCTTCCTCTACGCCACCAAGGGAGCATTTAGGAGCCTCACCCTCGCCGCTTGGAGAAAGTTAACCTTCCCTCATCCTTTGACCATGTCTTTTGAAGAGCATCATAACTTCCTTACCCATTGAGGAGAGGAGAAGTCGCCAAGCGATTTAATCACTATTAAAGTCACCTAAATCCGTTATGACTATTAAACGGCCTCAACCTGTTATGACCGTCAGACTAGCTATTTAATTACTACACTAAGCTACTATAAATTATAAGCCCCACCAACACTTGGGGGGCATGAGACCCATTTGAGCATAATTATCTCCTCCNTACTTATATTCCTCCGGCTTAAAATGTTATATTTAGATTAAAAAATATTTTAATTAAAGATAGAATATCGAATATTTTAAATTTTATAACCAAAATTCATGTTCTATTATATCATTTATTGAAATAAAATTAAAAATAAAAAATTAGTTTATTCTTAAAAAATTATAATTAGTATACAATTATACTGTCTATTGGAAAAAAACTAAAAAGTCAAATAAATGGTCAAAATGTAATAGACAAATAAGAGGTCAAACTGTAATGGACAAATAAGGGGTCAAACTGTAATTGACACAATATATTTTAACTTTAAGAAAAAAATTATAGTATAATTGTATACTAATTATAATTTTTGAAGAAAAAATTAGATTTTTATTTTTAATTTTGTTTCAATAAATATCATAATAGAACATAAATTTTGGTTGTAAAATTTAAAATATTTGATATTTTATTTTTATTTGGTGTATTTTTGGTGTCAATATAACATTTTAAACTTGAAAAATCTAAATATTACATGCCTACAAATATAAGGGGGTTTTGATATAATTTACTAACAGATATACTAATGGACATTGGAGACATAGGCCTAATTGTTACATGCGTACAAATTTCAGGGAGTTTGTGTGTAATATTTCAAATATCAGGGAGTCTGAGTGATTAAGTAACAAACTTTAAGGGGTCTGAATATAATTATTTCTAATTTTAAATAAGTTATAATTTTTTAAATACAATTTAATTGAGTTATTTAGAAGATGAAATCCAATAAAATTTATTTTGCTGGGTTGATGTCCTCCAGTTCTAAAACAAGAAGGAAATTAGAAGTGAAATTTATCTTTTCAATTGAAAGATTCTGTATTTAACTAAGATTTCTTCCCAATTCACGTGTTAATAGGACCCACAATTCAACTTGCGAAGACTTGCTACTGCACACACACCTCCCCAATTCACACGCTAATGGGACCCACAATTTAAAAGCTACAAAGACTTGCTAATGCACATCCGCGTCAACATTGTTGGAATACTTCGACGCACTGTTGGAAGAGTTTTTTTGTATCAAATAATTCATAACGTCATTTAAAGTGATTTTTTTATTCATTTTTGAGTTGTTTAAACTTGTCATTTGGAGCGATGTCTTCGTGTTAAAGACGTTGTTTGGTCTAATAATATTTTTTATCTCGTAAAAATTTTATTTTCTTAAAATTAAATGTTCAAGTTTCCTCCCTCTTCCCAAAATAATAATAATAATAATAATAATATTTTTAAAAAATATATATTTTAAAATTAAGTTTAAAAATAACTAATTTTAAAAATTAAGTTTTTTAGCAAAATGAATTTGATGAAAAGCTCGACTTTTGGTGCCGTGTAGAGAGGAGAGGAAAAGCTAATCACCGAAATTGCGGTCCTATTTATTTGATGTTTTTGTTTTGAATTTTTTTTTTTTTTTGATTTTATTTTTTGAGTAAAACAAAAACAAAAATATGTTTGGATTTGTGTTTCTGTTTTTTATAAAATATGTTATTTAGAAAACAAGGCCCAAAAATAAGGAACAAAAAAAAAAGAAATGGTTTTCAGAAACAAGGCAAAACGGAAACACGCACGCGCAAGGTTAGGAGAGTTAATGAGATTCGATTTTTGAACTTCCTTAACAGCAAAAATAGCATTTTTCTTTTGGAATTATTTAAACCCATTTTGATGACATTAGCCCTCTCCATTTCCATTGCCTGACTCATTCTCTCTATTGTCTCTCTCATCGACGAGGACAACCACCTTCATCGATGAGGACAACCACTGTACCAACGGGGACAACCACCTTTACCAACGAGGACAACCACTACACCGACAAGTACAACCACATTCTCCTCTCTCTCTTTCTCCCTCTCTTATCTTCACCGACGGGGACAACCACATTCTCTTTCTCTCTTTCTCCCTCTCTCATCTCTTCTCCTCTCTATCTATACACACACACACACATATATGTATATATACAAAAATCTGTGTATGTATATACAGATCTGTGCATGTATATTCATACATACATAAATCTATGTATATATACACATAAATCTATGTGTTGTGTGTTGATTGTGTTGTGATGTATCTGTTGTGCATGTGTTGTGTGTTGTATTTGAGATTGAATCAGGAGTGGGATTGAAGTAATGTATTGAATTGGGATTGAGATTGAATTGTCATTTAGATCACTCTTTCAATCAATTATGAATCATTATAATTTTGTAAATAAAAATAAAAGTAAAGTATATTCTTGACCATAAAAGTAAATAAAGATAAAATTTAAAATAGTTACCAAACATATTTATTGTTTTTATTCTCATAATTTGATAAATAAAAATAACGAGTAATGTTGTTGGAACATAATTTATGGACATAATTTGAAGTCATAATGAGTTATCACAAATGATATGATAATGAATTCATTAATGCTATATAAGACTCATTATTAGATACATTTCACTATCATTTCATTGGTGACAACTCATTATGTTCTCAAATTATGTCATTTAATTAGGCCCCAATAGCATTGGTGAAAAATAACTCTCAAACATATTTTCTGTTTCAGTAAATATCACAAAATTGAGACAAATATTGTCTCTATTTTTTATTTTTTAAAAAATACAAAAATAAGAACATTACTAAACTATCCCAGCATTTTGCTTCTCTGCCCCACCCAGCCTTTCTCCACAATGTTTTAAAACCTGGCCCGGCCTGCGCGGGTTGACCCGGTTAACCGGTCCCCTAACCGGGCCGGTTTTGTAATTAGACCGTTTGAGCAAAGAACCGGTCAAAAAATCGGTAACCTGTGAAAATCGGACCGGGTTTACAAAACTGGTCGGTTTTGTTCGTTTAGTATAAATATGTTTTTTTTTTACATTTTTGTATCTTTTTCTTTTCCCCTTCTGTTTTGTCCTAAATCCTAAATCATTCGTTCAGTGTTTGTTAACTCAAAAATTAAGTGAATGTAATTAAGTGATTCAAGTTTGAGGGTCGAGGCTGGGCTGTTAATTGAATGCATTGGTTTGTTAATTGAATGCAATTAAGTGATTCAGGCTTGATAATTTTGTTTGATTTAATATATATTAAACATGTTATTTTTATAACTATTTTAATTTTTTAGTCTATTTATCATCATTAATAATTATTTTTTATTTTTTTATTATATCACCGGTTTGACCAGTGACCCAATGATTGAACCAAAAATCCCTTGACCCAGTCCCTTTTTTGAGTTGGTGTCCGAGCCGAGTTTTAAAACTATGTTTCTCCATGGCTGGCAGTCTACCCAATTGATGACTTTCTGGCCATACCGAGGACTTTTGTGGCACGAGAGCCCCAAAGTTAACACCTTCAAGAATTTTTTGTGTAGTGATACTTCTTCGTGTATTTGTGGACTACTCATAACCGGTAACATAAAATTTAAAAATTCAAGTATTTAAAAATTCGATTTTACTATATTAAATAATAATTTTTTTTTATATTTTTTTGATTACATCATTTAAAATTTATTTTTAACATTATTTTCTTAAAAAATTTAACAAAAATTTTCTCAAAATACATAATTGAATAAATTTTTTTCAACATATATATATTATCGTGTTTGGATTTCCTCCAATGCAATTTCTTTCAATTTCTGTAATTGATAGATCACCCCTTATAAATTTCAGCCACCCCCTTCTAGTTTTTATATTTTTAAGAATAATCCTTCTAGTTTTTAAATCTTCAATGACACTCTCTCTTAGATTAAAAATATTAATTATAATGTAATTTTACTAAATTGTCCATGATATAATTTAACAAAAACTTCATCCATACCTCCTCTAGATATTCATATATTTAATGAGACCCTCTCTTGATAAGTATATCTTCAATGAGATCCCATCTATTTTTAAAAAAAATTTACATTTTAAAATTCGGACCAACTAAAATTTATTTTTATATATTAAAATTTGAGTCAATTAAAAATTATATTTTTTTAAGTCTTAAAATTTGAGCCTATTAAAATTTCATTTGAGGCTTAAATCAAATTTTAATCAACTCATATTAAATTTTATTCGGCCTTATTTTTAATACATAAAAAAATATAAATTTTAATTGACTAAAATTTTAATACGTAAAAAATAAATTTTAATCATCTTAAATTAAATTTTAATACATAAAAAAATATAAATTTTAATTAATTCGAAGCAAATTTTAGTGAGGACTAACAACTCAAGTAGAGCTCAAATTGACTTAAATTTTAATACATAAAAGACTTTTAATAGGCTCAAATTTTAATACGTAAAAAAATAAAATTTAATCAGTTTAAATCAAATTTTAATCGACTCAAATTTTAATATGTAGAAAGAAGAATTTTAGTCAGCTCGACTTTTAATATATAAAAAAATGAATTTTAATCTAATTTTATGTAAAAAGATTGTTTTGAATTTGAGTAGGGGCAATTTTAATATTTTAGATAATTTATTTTTATTATAAATGGTTGTTTAATGGCAAGAGTGTTGGTGATGTTTAATTATAAATTAGAATGGGTGTTAGTAATATTTTTGATAATAGAGGGGTATCCTTAAGAGTATAATAAATTATAGAGGGTGTGGCTGAAATTTTCCCAAAAAAAAAAAAACAAAATCGAACAACTGTTACAAAAGTAAAGCATGCTTAGAGAGGAAAAGAGATCATTTTCACTCATAATGTGTCGCATTTTTCAATTATTGTAGGAAGAATAATGTTTTATTGACCAAATTTTGAGACTAAATTTAAAGTTTAAATGACATGACAATTGACATGGACTTCTTTATTTGGTGTCATGTTATTTGGACCCTAATAAAAATTTCAAATAATATATTGTCATATCATTTACCCTCTAAATTTAGTTCTAAACGTTACTCTCGCCAGGAAACCACTAGAGAGAGAGTCAATACCAGAAAAGTCATGCCATACTTGATACGTCTGTATCATTGGCAGTCAAAGAAGCACTAACCTTCCGGGCAAAAAAAGCAGGGTAGCTTTGATCTTCTTCCATCTCCTCGATTCTGAGAATAGAAATGGGATTGGGGCAGAGTTTTTGTTGTTTTAGTCTGTTTCTTGTTCTTCTCATCTATTCTTTGCAATTGATTATTGCTCAACCTTTAAATCGTTCGATGGCCAACTTGTCATATCAATAATGAATCAATAGCCAAGTTGGATCTAATGGATTCAACTTTTGCTAACATACTTCATAAAGGAAGCTCTCGCCCAGAATTTTTGTGTGGCTTCTATTGAAAAAGAAGTAGTAGCAGCAGCAAATGCATCTTTGCTATTCTTATCTCCACGGAAGAAATTGATGTGAGCAATAAGATCATATCAGAACCGCAAGTAATCTGGTCTGCCAACCGAGACAACCCGGTCAAAATCAATGCCACACTGGAACTCACACAAGATGGAGATTTGGTCCTGGCAGACGTAGATGGAACCTTGGTATGGTCAACAAACACAAGTGGGAAATATGCTTCAGGCTTAAACTTAACAGAAATGGGAAACCTTGTGCTTTTTGATACGAGTAATACAACGGTTTGGCAGTCATTCGATCACCCTACAGACTCGTTAGTTTTCGGGCAGACGCTGAATCCCAGACAGAAGCTGACAGCTAGCATATCAACCTATAATTCCAGCCGAGGTATGTATTCATTTGCAGCTGCCAAAAGACGTTTGATTGCTTACATAGAGTCCAACCCACCGCAGGTCTATTTTGATTCTGAAAATTACTAAATCGGGGACACTTTCGTCAAACTCGGGAAAGGAAGGTACAAATTTAGTCCTGCAAATACAACCCAATTCATAAAGTTGGAGCCTGGTGGACATTTAAAGGTTTATGCATGGGGAGGATCAAGTTGGGGACAAGAGCAAGATCTCCTGACAAACAATTTATTCGGTGACTGCGGGTACCCTATGGTGTGTGGAAAATACGGCATTTGTTCAGATGGGCAGTGCAGTTGTTCTCAACAAACCGATTTCTCGCAAATTAATTTTAGACAACCCAATCTCGGATGTTCCCTTAACATACCTATTTCTTGTGACTTTTCTCAATATCATAAGCTTGTGGAGCTTAAGGATATTGATTACTTTGTTTATAGATCAGACCTGAGGGATGAGATGATGGAGCTAGAGGATTGTATGAATACATGCTTGAAAAACTGTACCTGTAAAGCTGCTGTTTTTGCATATAATTCGGATCCTCTACGGGGAGGTTGCCTGTTACTATCTGAAGTCGTTTCTCTTATAAACATTCAATCTTCATTCCATCTGCGTAATTCCTCAATGTTTGTTAAAGTGCAGACGAGTTCATCAGGTAGTCTTCTTGCAAAAAAATCAAGGGGAACCCCATCATTCATACTGGGAGCTAGTCTCGGAGCTTTCATTGGTGTGTTACTTATGATGGGGGCTTGCTTTTTCCTTGTAAGAAGGATTACTACATCCAAGGAGGTTGAGGAGGATTATTTGGACCAAGTACCAGGGATGCCCACAAGATTTGCATACAAAAACTTGAAAGATGTGACTGAAAACTTCAACAAAAAACTTGGGGAAGGAGGATTCGGATCGGTCTTTGAGTGGACTCTGAGCAATGGCACCAAAGTAGCAGTGAAGCATCTCAGTGCATTGGGTCAAGTAAAGAAGTCATTCTTAGCTGAAATTGAGACAATAGGTAGCATTCACCATGTCAACTTGGTGAGACTGATTGGATTTTGTGCTGAAAAGTCGTATAGGCTTCTAGTTCATGAGTACATGTGTAATGGATCTTTGGATAGATGGATTTTCAGAAGAAACCAAGAGGATGCTCTAGGATGGCAATCAAGAAGGAAGATCATCTTAGACATAGCCAAAGGATTAGCCTATCTCCACGAAGACTGTAGACAGAAGATATTTCACTTGGACATCAAACCTCAAAACATCCTATTAGATGAAAATTTCAATGCAAAAGTTTCTGATTTTGGATTGTCGAAATTAATTGACAAGGACCAAAGCCAAGTTGTCACAACATTGAGAGGAACTCTAGGCTATATGGCACCTGAATGGTTGGGCTCAATTATAACAGAGAAAGTAGATGTCTACAGTTTTGGAGTCATGGTCTTAGAAATTGTGTGCGGGCGAAAAAATTTGGATCGATTCCAGCCTGAGGAAGATAAGCATTTATTATGTCTTTTTCAAAGAAAAGCAAGAGGAGGACAACTTTCAGATATGGTTGACAAGTGCAGTGAGGATATGCAGTTGCATGGACCTGAGATTGTGGAGACGATGAGGCTAGCTGACTGGTGCTTACAGAGTGATTTTAAGAGGAGGCCTTATATGTCAACTGTGGTTAAGGTCTTGGAGGGTTATGTGGATGTTGAAAGCGACTTGGATTATAACTTTGTTGGTCAACATTTATCAAGAACAACTGCAACCATTTGTGAAAAGGAGGACGTTGTTCGTGCTGCTACACCACTTCTGCCATCAGTTTTATCTGGACCAAGGTGAAGAAAAGATATTAAAGACATTCTATGGAAGAACAAAGCTGCATTGAGTATAACATTTGGCTGATTTTTTAGAAGTAACTAATAGACATGCACCCACCCACCTACCCACACACACACACAGGTATATATATATAGTTGTGGATTATGTTCACAAATTACTGTGTTGGAATATTAGGGGTACGTTATCCATCGTTATCACCAGAAAACCAAAAAGGTTCAATAAAAATCCCAAATATGTGGACAGTTGCAGGTTGTTACTGATATTGATATAAGTTGAAAAAGTTGAATGATTTTTCCAAGGTCATTTCTCCAATATATTTGAAGGATGGCTCTATCGTAAACAAATATTAGGCTTTTTTTTTTTTGAAATTACCGTATGACTAACGAAATCCTACAAAGCAATATTTCCCTAATACATTTTGCATTGATTGTTTACCTATTTTATTTTTCGAACAAAGTTTTTTTTCAAAAAGGCTAAGCTTAAATTGAATAATTTGAATTTATTAGTTATTTTAAGATTATTATATTAACTAGGTTATATCTGTTTGACTAGAATTGTTTTAGTAATTCTGGATAGTGAGAGTTTGATTAGGAAATGAGTAATTGTTACTCCCTTAGCCATTGGTAGCATTTGACATCGGGTAGCCTCGTCCATAGGCACCCATGCCTTAGCCAAAATGACAGAAGTCCCGTGCATGACTGAGGGAGGCAGTCCATGCACGTGGGCACAAGTCAACATACAAGCAAGGAAGCGGGCGGTTTGAATTGTGGGGCAATACTAGCTTGAATAATGAGTCATAGGCTGGGTCATGGTTAGACACGAATGTAATGCAATTCGGATGCTGAGGGCTCCTGACACATACACAACATGTGAGGAAGTTGGGCATGTGCTTTGCAGATGGTGGCAGTTCTAGGCAGTTCTGGACAGTTTTCTGGCAAATGCATAGCATGTGGGATCTCTGTCAGATTCAGACAAGCATGCAAACACCAATTATAACTTCCCTGTCATCCAATCACAGCAGACCTCTGGTAGCATTTGAATTACAGACATGTGCCTAGGCAGTTGGGCTTGTAACTATCACCCTGAATATTATAAATAGGGTGTTTGGGGTATGTAGTGCAACAAGAGAGTTGGCACGTTTTTGTAAATAGACCCCAAGGTTGAGTTCCTTATACTTTATTGAGAAAGAAAGGTTTGGTTGTTGCCTATAAATTATGTGTGTTTACTTACTGTCCATTCTCTGTTCTATGTGCATTTTGTATGCATTTTAAGTGTTTGGCTAAGACTAAGTGTTAGATCTTAGTGCCATCACGAGGCAGAAATTTGGTGAGAAATTTAACTCCATGACAATTGGTATCAGAGCTTCAGTTTGCGACCATGGCTGGTGGAAATGCTGCTGAATTGCGAGAACATATTGCCCATCTCGAAGATTTTATGGGCGCCCCTCAGACAGATGGTGCAACCAGCGTGGCTGCACAGATGGAACAACACGCTATTCAGATTGCGGGATTACAGATGACTTTTGATAGTTATGTGTCTGACATCGATGCAAAGATTGTAACAATGATGGAGTATATCATATCTCTCACAGACGTTGTCAAAACAAATTTGAAGGATCTTGAAGATGATGTGTCCTTGGTGAAGAGGGCCATGAATTCTCGTCTTATTGTGGGCGAGACATATTCAAAGATTAAAGTCCCTAAACCAAAGGCCTTCGGAGGCACCCGAAGTGCTAAAGATCTGGAGAATTTCCTCTAGGACATGGAGCAGTATTTTAAGGTAGCCCATGTGCCTGATGGAGAGAAAGTAATAATCACCAGTATGTATTTATCTGGTGATGCCAAATTATGGTGGAGGACCCGAAATGTGGACGATGCCTCTACTGGTCGTCCAAAGATCGAGACATGGGAGACCCTGAAAAAGAAATTGAAGGATCAATTCCTCCCTAGCAATATAACTTGGATTGCTAGGGACTCACTCAAAAAGTTGAAGCACACCAAAACAGTTCGCGATTACATGAAGGAGTTTAGTTCATTGATGTTAGACATCAAGAACATGTCAGAGGAAGACAAACTCTTCAACTTTATGTCCGGACTGTAAGGTTGGGCACAGGCTGAACAGCGAAGGCAAGGGGTACGTGATCTGCCCACTGCCATTTCTGCTGCAGATGGCCTTGTTGACTTCAAAATGGGCGGCAGCCAAGGCCTTCCTGAGAAAAAGAAGAAGGATGGTGGTGGCAGGAAAGATAAGGCTGGCACTTCCAAAGACGCAAAAAAAGAAGATTGGAAGAAAAAGAAGAATGTTGCTGACTTTAACAAGCCAAACAATAACCAGAAGAAGAAAACTTTTGATTCTGGTTGTTTTCTCTACGACAGACCCCATCGTGTCAAAGACTGCCCCAAGAGGGAGAAGTTAAATGCCCTTGTTGCTATAAGTGAGAATGACAGTGATGATGACTGTCCTACCCTAGTCAACCCTCTCCAGTTGCTGAATGCAATTACTGCGGGCAAAGTTCAGTAACCCTGTAAAGGCCTCATATTTGTTCAGGCCTGGGTGAATGGCAAAGAAGTTCAGGTCATGGTGGATACTGGAGCCACCCACAACTTTGTTGCCCAGAGAGATGTGGGAAAGTTTGTCCTGAAATTGTCAGAAAATTCAAGCAAACTTAAGGCAGTAAATTCTAAAGCAATGCCAATATGTGGTACAGCAGAAATACGCCTAAAAGTGGGTCTGTGGGAAGGCCAAATGAGTTTGATGGTTGTGCCATTGGACGACTTTGATGTCATCCTAGTGAATGAATTCTTTGTTACAGTGAAAGTGGCATTGATGTCACATCTGAACAGAGTGCTGATCACGGATGAGAAAGCACCCTGCTTTGTGCATGCACTCATGGCAGACCAAAGTAAGAAAGATGGAAAGCGGAAGGTGGGAATGATGTCTACTATGCAAGTAAATACAGGGTTGAAGAAGGGTGAGATGACATACCTCGCAACCTTGGTGGAGGTCAAACCAGATGTGCTGGTTGAAGTACCTGATATTGAGGCAGATGTACTGGTCGAGTTTGCTGATGTTATGCCCCCTAAACTCCCCAAGAATCTTCCACCCAGACGTGTAATTAACCACAAGATAGAACTGGAGCCTGGTGCAAGGCCTCCAGCCCGTGCCCCTTACCGGATGTCGCCAATGGAACTGGCACAATTGAGGAAGCAATTGAACGAGTTGCTAGATTCTGGCAGCATGAAGCCATCCAAGGCGCCATACGGAGCCCCTATTCTGTTCCAGAAGAAGCAAGATGGATCGTTGCGCATGTGCATCGATTATCATGCTTTGAATAAGGTGACTATCAAGAACAAGTATCATGTTCCGAATGTTGCTAATCTGTTCGACAGATTGTCCAAGGCCACTTTCTACACAAAGTTGGATCTTAGGACTGGGTATTAGCAGGTCAGAATTGCAAAAGAGGATGAGCCAAAGACTGCGTGTGTGACGCGTTATGGTTCTTTTGAATTTCTTGTAATGNAAACTTAAGGCAGTAAATTCTAAAGCAATGCCAATATGTGGTACAGCAGAAATACGCCTAAAAGTGGGTCTGTGGGAAGGCCAAATGAGTTTGATGGTTGTGCCATTGGACGACTTTGATGTCATCCTAGTGAATGAATTCTTTGTTACAGTGAAAGTGGCATTGATGTCACATCTGAACAGAGTGCTGATCACGGATGAGAAAGCACCCTGCTTTGTGCATGCACTCATGGCAGACCAAAGTAAGAAAGATGGAAAGCGGAAGGTGGGAATGATGTCTACTATGCAAGTAAATACAGGGTTGAAGAAGGGTGAGATGACATACCTCGCAACCTTGGTGGAGGTCAAACCAGATGTGCTGGTTGAAGTACCTGATATTGAGGCAGATGTACTGGTCGAGTTTGCTGATGTTATGCCCCCTAAACTCCCCAAGAATCTTCCACCCAGACGTGTAATTAACCACAAGATAGAACTGGAGCCTGGTGCAAGGCCTCCAGCCCGTGCCCCTTACCGGATGTCGCCAATGGAACTGGCACAATTGAGGAAGCAATTGAACGAGTTGCTAGATTCTGGCAGCATGAAGCCATCCAAGGCGCCATACGGAGCCCCTATTCTGTTCCAGAAGAAGCAAGATGGATCGTTGCGCATGTGCATCGATTATCGTGCTTTGAACAAGGTGACTATCAAGAACAAGTATCATGTTCCAANAGCCATCCAAGGCGCCATACGGAGCCCCTATTCTGTTCCAGAAGAAGCAAGATGGATCGTTGCGCATGTGCATCGATTATCATGCTTTGAATAAGGTGACTATCAAGAACAAGTATCATGTTCCGAATGTTGCTAATCTGTTCGACAGATTGTCCAAGGCCACTTTCTACACAAAGTTGGATCTTAGGACTGGGTATTAGCAGGTCAGAATTGCAAAAGAGGATGAGCCAAAGACTGCGTGTGTGACGCGTTATGGTTCTTTTGAATTTCTTGTAATGTCGTTTGGGCTCACTAATACCCCGAAAAATTTATGTAATCTAATGAATGATGTTTTTTACGATTACATTGATGTCTTTGTAGTTGTTTACTTAGATGACATTGTAATCTATAGTGAAATGTTGGAAGATCACATAGATCATTTAAGGGTTGTGTTTTCATGACTTAGGGAACACCAGCTGTACGTCAAAAAGGAAAAATGTGAGTTATGTCGCCAAGAAGTGATGTTCTTGGGACATTATATTAGTCAGGGCAAAATCTGGATGGATGAGAGGAAGGTGAAGGCAATTGTTGATTGGCCTGCACCAACCAAGGTGTCTAAACTAAAGTCGTTTATTGGCCTAGCCAATTACTACCACAAGTTCATTGAAGGATATTCAAAGAAGTGCAATGTCCTGACTGACTTGCTGAAGAAAGACCAAAAGTGGGATTGGAATGATGTTTGTCAGACAACTTTTGAGAAGCTGAAGCATGCAGTATCCTTTGCACATGTACTGAGATTGGTGGACTTTGATCTGTCTTTCGAAGTGCACACTGATGCCTTTGACCGCACCATTGGAGGAGTCCTTGTTCAAGAGGGACACCCTGTTCCCTTTGAAAGTCAAAAATTGAAGGATGTTGAGCAGCGATATTCAGCACATAAGAAAGAAATGACTGTTGTGGTGCATTTCCTTGAAATTTGG